AGGGACCAAAGCAAAATTAACCCTGTTCTGTGGTGTTTCTATCTGTAGCCTGATTGGTAAACTTAACGTTAGCTTAGCTAGCAGGCTACAGACCCAAACAGCGCCACACAACACAGTATGGGTTTGATTCTGACTGACTACAGCTCTGCTGACACAAGCATAGATGATTAAAACTGACTGAAAGACCAAAGTTGGTGACTGGTGTTGACAGAAAGCTGAAATCTAACCTGTGTTCTGTGGTTTTTGAGACTGTAGCGTTGTGGCTATGCTAGCGATAGCCTAGTTAGCAGGCTAAATGTCCCACACACCACAGCACAGGATAGATTCCAACAAAATGATGCTTAACTGACATCCATTTAAGGGATATGAGAGCGCAGAGTTGAGTGAGCGGTGTTAGAGTGAAAGCCGAAACTGAACGTGCCCTTCAGTGCCAGCTGCTCGGCTTTGCTACCTCAGAACTGTCTAACGTTTAGCATTTGTTAGCAGATGGTCTGACATCCTTGCTAGAAAAAAACAGCACGACTGGACACCAGCAAAACCAGCATATGTTGTGTTTTGGATGCCAGCAAGTTGGTCAGCAGCAACGAAAGTTGATCACCCTAAAAATTAGCGTATCGCTGCTGTCGGAACAAAAATTCGTATCTCCAAAATGGTGAAAAAACTTTACAGGAGAAGGAAAAAACATACTGTACTTTTAATGTAAGTCAATGGAACCAGACTTTTTTCCAAGTCATTTTGGGCCGTCTCTGTTGGTCTATTCATCATGAAATTTACAAACAATGTAAAGGACAACAAACATTTTAAAATTAACTCAAAAACTGAAAAACGAAAAATGGAGATACGAGGTTTTGTTCCGACACCAGCGATATGTTGTTTTGATGCTGGTGTGCCCAGCTAAACCAGAACCAGCTGTTTTTTAGTGGGGTAGCTCTTAGCCGTCAAGTGCTGCTTTTTTCTGGCTCTGAGTTTTTCCCTCTTTCTATCAGTGCCACCAATCAGTCAGCTCCCACACTGCCAGTTAGTGACCCCCCGCCCCCAAATAAAAATGAGTGGAATGTGTCTATTTAGCCGTTCAGACGTGGAATAGAAATATGACACGTCATAATTTTGAAATACCATCATCTTTTTTAAATACTTTACCACTACGCTGACCAACCCTAATACAGAGTGCATTGTTTAACTCTTGAAGTTTGTTTTTTTTTGATGATACAAAACCATAGTGGCTAAATTTATCATTCATCTGATTTTCAGCTCCTGAAAATCGGTACTGGTCACAGAGTGTTTGTATTTGTTGGGCCTTTTGTTATAAAATAATATATCAACTAGGGATCCACTGATACCGGAATGCTGATCCAATGGTTTCAAGAAACCTGCAGCAGCACTGCTGTGTCTGATCCACTCAGACCAGCACAACACACACTAACACACCACCACCACGTCAGTGTTACTGCAGTGCTGAGAATGATCCACCACCCAAATAGTACCTGCTCTGTGAGGGTCCATGGGGGTCCTGACCACTGAAGAACAGGGTAAAAGGGGGCTAACAAAGTATCAGAGAAACAGATGGACTACAGTCTGTAACTGTAGAACTACAAAGTGCACCTATATAGTAAGTGGAGCTGATAAAACAAAAAACAATGAGTGTAGAAACAAGGAGGTGGTCAGAATGTTATGCCTGATCGGTTTATGCATGGTGTAGATCTGCTTGCGAAAGCTGGCCTAGTTTGAAAAACCTAGGTTTCATTCTGTTATCCGTGAGGGGAAACACCTCATCTGATGCTCTCCGTTTTGGCTCAGTTGGGGGTCTAATTCATCTTATCTCATGCTGGAGACTGAAAGATGTTCCCCGGCGCCCACCGGAGCAGAGCGGGGGCCTCCACCCCCACCACGGCCCGGTGACAGCTCATTTGGGTGAAGCGTCTCGATCTCGGGGCTTCTTCAAAGCGTGCCTCTCCACGCACGCCGTCCTGGGAGAGTCTGGCTCATTAGTATTCCACTCCACACGCCCCTTTTGTTTGATCCCGCAGAGAAAGGGGGGAAACCCAGGAGAACAGTGGGGAGACATGGTGGGGGGGCTGTTTATTTGATTCCTTTCGCCGCCTTTTCACGGGACCTTTATTGAAAACTGTTTGCGGCTGCCGTCGATACACGCACGGGACAGAGCTTTGAAGGACGGGGGTACTGCATAAGCGTGCCAGGATATTAACGGAATAAAAACAATGCAATTTCTGAGCAATTTATCTGCTTTGTGCTTTGGTATTATAATGACTATATTTACATTTTATTTCACAAATAAAATCTCCTGTTTTTAAGTAAGGATATAACTACAGGCCAATGAGCAACTGCAGCTTAAAAACACCTTTTGTGAAAAAATTATAGAGAAATCTTATTTATAATAAAGCCTTTACACCCTAAACTGAACAGATCCTAGGTTGGAAACACCACGAGGAAGGAACAAAGGATCATTAAAGGCTAGAACCTCCACCCCCATCCCGCCAGGACATGAATCTTAGCTGTCAAACACGGCTGCACACACCACAAAGAGAGGGAGGAAGGATTTCACAAGACAACTTAAATACCTGGAAAGGCCAATGTTACAAAAACGCCACACTTTTATGTGTTATTATACTAAGATGGATGTTCTTCGCTTCTTCGCCGAACTAAAGTTAACGATAAACCATGCAGCGAATGTAACATTAAAGGAAAAACTCGACCGCACATGCTATTGTGGTTAACCATGAATGGGAGCGAGCAGGTATCAGTTAGCATGGTGTTCTTTCCCTAATGCCAAGTGGTGGTTGTTGGTAGGGCTCAAGGATTTGGGGAAAAGATTTAATTGCAATTGTACTGAATAATACTGCAATTTGTTTTCCTCAAGAAGAGCAGCACATCACTTTTTTCAGGCTTGAAGGCTGAATGTAGTAGTGTTCTGTGTTTGGTTCAATTCCCCCACTTAAAACTTCACCATGTAGACAAATATGGAATATAATAACTGCAGCTCTTGCGATGTGAAATTCGCACTCACGCTCTTCAAACTGTCTACAGATTTAGCTGCTGGCTTTAACTGGGGTGGTACACTAAAGCACATCTTCAGTACCTTTAGTTAGGGAACATAACTGTACCATAATTCACTGCAACGGTATTTCTTAATTCAAAAGTGACTCCACTTTTTATTATAGGTTATGAAACAATACAAATATTCATCATTTCCCTGAGAAAAATTATTTAAGGTGTACAGTTGGACCTTAAAACCACTGTTGTACCTTTTGAGGGAACATTTACATTGTTTGCACCTTGATGAATGAAAAATGTACCTGAACAGAACCTTTATTAATAACAGGGTATCAGCATATATTGTGAACTTTAGCACTGGCTGAATTATGTCGCACCTGCACAATAAAGTATGATCGTATCCCTTTAACCTCTGCAACTACAAAACACAATACAGTCCTGCACAACTATCAATTTAACCTCAACTACATAACACAATATGTCCTGTAAAGCTACCCCTTATATCCTTTGAGCTTTCTTTATATTTGCATATATTTGGAATATTAGTACTGACGATCTGTATCCCTTTAAGCCCTGCAACAACACAATATGCTAGGGCTGGGCAATTTGACTTTATATTGTTATTGTGATAAACTGTCACAGCTTTCCTGAACATTTTCTGGATACTGTCAGTACTTGTAGACAGTGGCCAACTGCATGTTTCATTATAAAAAGCGCAAAATTAAACCTGTTTAACTGGGTTTAGTGCAACACACTACGCTAAATATTGAATAAAAATCACTGTGTTCAGTTTTTGATAGCATTTTTAATGTAGAACAGATCAGATGTCTGAAAAAGAATAAATATTGTATCTTGAAAATTGCGATATTATTGCTTACTCCAATCTATTTTGCTGTATCACCCGCCTCTACAGCCTTAGCACAACTATCCCTCCAGAACTTTTCAGAAGAAGAAAAAAAAAAACAATCTTAATGGTCAGTGCTGGTTATTTTGGACCATATCTATTGCTCTGTTTTACTCCCTGAAATGCTGACACAATTTAAAGAACAGCTGGTGCTTTCAAAGTACATTAAAAAAAAAGAAAATTAACAAAAATGGACGATATATTAGGAATATTAGCATTGGTTGAATCATCCCTTTAAGCTGTGCAAAAATTTACCATGTTTTTAACCCCTTTTATCCCTTTTAATGTAAATCGTGGCTTATAGCATTAGTTAGAAATTTTAGAATTGGCTGAACTATCCCTTTAACCTGCACAGCTGCACAACAAAACCCCTTAACCCTTGAATTGCACACCACAATATCCACTGCACAACTATCCAACATTCTCCTTTTATCTCCTTTACCTGCACAACTCCCTAAACTATCCCTTTAACCTCGGCAGCCACACAACATAACCATCCATAGGAAAAGTAGCCCCTTTATCTGTGTAGGCGCAAAACACGTCCCTCAGACTGTGCCTAAAAAGATGGTTCTTCAAGAGTTCTTCTCAGAACCATGAATCCTACATAGAACCAGGTTCTGTGCATGGTAAAATGGTTCTTCAGATTGATGGAGTATGTGCTGAATATGGTTCTTTAAAGCTAAGCTTTGGTTACGAAGTCAAGCTTGTGACAACAGAGGAACCCTTTTTGGAGCCATTTTTTTCTTCACAAAAAGGTTCTGCGCAGAACCATATACAGCACATTTTCCATCAGTCTGAAGAACCATTTCACCATGCAAAGAACCATTTAAGAAAACTGGTGCTATATAGAACTCATGGTTCTAAACAGAATCATTCCCTTTACTCAAGAACCCTTAAAGAACCCTCTTTTTTTAAGTCTGAAGTTTGTTGCACACTTGAAACGTGTAATGTGTATGTTTTCATATATATATATATATATATATATATATATATAAAATTGTGTCATGGAGTGTGAGGCGCATTCCTGCGTATCACTGCGCAGTCTATGTGTTAACATGCTGCAGATGCTGCTGCTGCTGCTCACCAGCCTCCGTCTGAAAGCCCACTCCTCCGGATCCACGCAGCCTCCAGGCTCGGGCTCCAGCTCGCCCCCTGCCGGCGGGCCCCCCAGCGACAACGCGGTCAGGACGAGGTTGTGCTGCCGCTCTCGGAGCTCCTCCAGCTCCCACAGCCAGGCCACGCTGGCCTCCAGCAGCTCCTTATTGCGGCTCCGCTCGGCCGGCATGTGGAGAGAAATGCCGCGGTGCATGAAGGAAAACTCTCCCCCTCTTCCTCCTCCTTCTCCTTCTCCTCCTCCTGCTCTGCGGGATCCTCCACTCAACAAAAGCTGCAAACCTCCTCGGTCTGTTTTGGCTTCAGCAGATCCAGAGAAAGCATCACGACTCCTGAACGCACCGCCAAACCCGGAGAAGCGCGCGCCTCCGCTGAGCTGATCCGCGGTTCTCCAGATGAAGCGCAGCTGCCTAATCGCGCCACTCATGCCTTTAAATCGCATTGCGCTCAGCGCCCCCTGTCGGCGCTCACGCGGAACGTCTCGTCTGCCATTGGACGTGAACTCCGATTCTCATAAATATGCGTGAGTAACATATGAATATGCAACGAGACCCGACCACGACGATTCCTATAGGCTTTAGTCCGGAGTGGGAATTTGTATGCAGCGCGCGCGTCTAGCTCAATAAACACTTGAATGATTTAATAAATGAATAAAAGGAGAAATGAATATGTGAAATATCATTAAATGAATGAATGAATGAATTAGTTAGTGAGGATAAAGTGAATATATGAATGAACGAGGAAAATTAAATCGTTCAATAAATGAATAAAAGAAGGACTGAATATAAGAATTAATCTTTAAACAAATGAACAAATGAATGAATTAGTGAGTTAAAAATGAGTGAGTGATTGAAAAGAGAATGAATGAATGAATGAATGAATGAATCAATCAATCAGTGAGGAATGCTTGAATCACTTAGTAAATGAAAAGAAGGAATGAATGTGAATGAATCATTAATCATTAATCCAATCAATGAATGAGTGAATTAGTGAGTGAGAAATGAAGGAATGAATGAATGAATGAGGGAACACTTAAATGATGTAATAAATGAACAAAAGAGAGATGAATATATGAATGAATCACTGAACGAATGAACAAATTAATGAATGAATTAGTGAGTTTAAATCAATGAGTGACTGAATGAATGAATGAATTTTGGAGCACTCAAATCTTTTAGTAAATAATTAAGAGAAGGAATGAATATGAGAATTAATTATTAAAAGATCGAATGACCATATCAAATGAATGAACGAATGACTGAATGAATAATTAGTGAGTGAAATGAATGAGTTAATGAAAGTACCCATTGGTAAATTTACAAGTGCTCTCAGGATGTTAATTAGACACAACTGAATCAGTAATTAGACTACTAAAGTGAAAATTAGACTTAATTGGGTTAATTAAGACTAATTTGCTTTGCCTGAATAGGAGTGTGTTTCACAGGTTTGTTTTTTTTTATCAAACCTTGCTGAATGCCTATCTATAATTTTAATGAAGTGTTAATTATTATTAAAACTGTTTGTATTTACATAATTGGTCGACAGCAGCCTCATATCTCCATTTTTGCCGTTTTTCACATTTCCACATTCGGCTTACATTAGACGCTGGGACAAAGCTCAAAATAAATAAATACATTAGCTAACTAGCTATAAAAAAACAAATAAATTCCAAACAATGCCCAGATTTATACTCACCGAGCTCCACTGACCATATAGGGGCACTTTGTAGTTCTACAGTTACAGACTGTAGTCCATCTGTTTCTCTGCATACTTTGTTAGCCCCCTTTTACCCTGTTCTTCAGTGGTCAGGACCACCATAGAGCAGGTAAGATTTGGGTGGTGGGTCATTCTCAGCACTGCAGTGACTCTGAGGTGGTGGTGGTGTGTTAAGTATTACCTCCTGTCGATATGCTTTCAGTTCTTAAGTACACTACCACAGGGCTAAAGGCCTCCCTTTAGAAAAGTGTATCTGTTTACAGTTCAAACAAAGTTGGACACGTTTTTCAACATTTAGTGTGTAAATCTGCATTTATTACAGATTTACTTCCACTTATTACAGGAAACCTGCTTTCAGTTTCTCAAAGAAATCTGCAGCCACGGCTCCAAAGTTCAGTCTTAGAAGTCGGTTGCATTTTTTGCTACTTGCGATCCAAATAATCTTAAACTTGCATTTGAACTAAAATCTTAAAAAAGATGGTTCTTCAAGGGTTCTTTAGTAAAGATAATGGTTCTATATAGAGCTATGACCACTCAAAGAACCATTTGCATGCTTTTTTGCAAGGGTTCTCCAATTGTTACAAGATTGACACTGTAACAATAGCAGAACCCATTCTTAAAAAGGCTCTATATAGGACCAAATACATTTTCCAACAGTTTAAAGAACCATTTTACCATGTAAAGAACCACTTAAGCATGCAAAGGGTTCTTTACGTGTTCATAGCTCTATATAGAACCATTGTCTTTACTAAAGAACCCTTAAAGAACCATCTTTTTTAAGACTGTACTTGTATCCAATGGCAGTTTTGACTGGAAATGAAATAAATTTAAGAGAATCTTTTTGTCGAATGACAACAAAAGCCTTTATTTCCGATTCACACTGACTTTTAAGGACCGTTTCTCACTTCCTCATGATAGTTTCTCACCTGATGTTGTGTTATTTCTCTGCGCTAAACACTGAACAAACAGACATCTTGAAGAACACAGACCATGTATTTTTTTTTCCAGTGTATTTTTTTTTATTATTCAACCTTTCTAATTCACATACATCAGAAAGCCACTCAGTCTCTATCAGGCAAAGTTGTGGGCTGAACGAGAATCTGCGCACAGCGCAGCCTCGTCCCCCAGGTCAGTGTCCACTGCAGATATACACTACGTATACATACAGTGCATATGTACTTATATATTAAGTATAAATCTACCCTTCTGGTCTAGAGATCTAAACAGCTCTAAAAAATAAATTAAAAACAGGAAAAAGAAACAAAAAAATGTACATTAAGGATCCTTTTTCTGCTACACGGGTTAAATGGTGGGATGCTAAAGTAGTTCACACATCTGTGAAATCAACCGGTGAAAAAAAAAAAAGAAATAAAAAAAGAAAATGATGTGGCGTTGTGTAAGTGCTGCTTGGATTCATTGCCTGCAAGGATGCGGTTGCCATGTCAACAAACTGTCAATCACGCCACTGCAGCACACAGCTACAGCAGCAGCGATGTCAAGAGTTTGCGTTACCATGGACACTGCGTTCCTACATCACTAATGTACTGATCTAGACAACTTTTCTCTAGAAACTGTCGACACAACGCATTTCACCTCTATGTGAAGACGGTCCAGACTTTGACTGGCAAAGTTGATTGAAGTTTTCTTTTTTTTTTGTTTGTTTTCAGAAACAATCATTCAAGTCGTTCAGTTTCAAATCAAAGTCAGTGTCATTTTGGTCAAACACACCAGCAGGAGTGGTCATTTCTCAAGAACGGAAAACAAACCCATGCACACATCTGTGAAATGAGTACAGTGGATCTGACTGACAGTAGAATCAATACATCATGGACACAGTTGGAAATCAAACTTCATTTTCTTCATACATGATTAAGACGATGCACGGTCCGAAAAGAACAAAAGAAAAAAGAAAAAGATTACATTCCTCTCCATTCATTTGCATGTATGTGCACACAAACACACAGACACGAGGAAGAATTCAATGGCAGAACTGATTCCATTTGCAATGACGATAAGATTTACGGGTTTGTGCAACGAAAACAACAGATTTAAATTGCAGCACATCCGACAGAAATGTCAGCAAATTCACACTCCAGTGTACGCAGGCAGTGGTCAGTTGACGTTCAAGAGTGTTCAGTTTGTCAACTTGGACCTGCAGGTCATCGTCATGCCCAAATAAGGGATTCTGGATCTAAGCAGGTTTTCTCTATGGGAAAAATCAACACCGTATGTAAGTTTTTCCTCTGGATCCTCTTAATTATGAGTTTGTTAAAGAGTCAAATTATCAACATTGTAAGTGCAAGTTAACACTGCTGTGCATAAAACTGACATCCTAAGACGGGGGTGCACAACTCCGGTCCTGGAGGACCAGTGTCCAGCACAGTTTGGAGGTTCCCCCACTAAAAGACACCCATTAAACCTGGCAATTAACAGATGAGTGTAATCAGGAGTGTTGGAGCAGGTGAATCACCAAACTGTGCTGGACACCAGCCCTCCTGGACACCGGCACCCCTGTTCTAAGACAACCTAATCAAAAACACCCCATGCAAACTAGCAAGCTTGCCAAAAAGTGGTAGCTGAGTTGTGTTAGCAGTGGTAGCCTCCAGTCAGGCTACTGTAATGTCATGGTTTGATCATAAAATGCATAAATAAAATACTAAACTTGTGAAATATAGCGCATTCTATTACGCAAAATATGGCATGTGATTATTTTGTATGTAGTGGCAAAAGTTTACATCAAAGCCTATAAGTAAAGTTTCATCAGCAACAATTTCATCTGGTTAGCTAAGTAGCTAACAGGATACAATGAATGTTTAGTTAGCAGAAAGCTGATCATGAATCAACCCGTGACCACTTATTGCTGGTAGGCTTTTTTTAATCACAAGTGTGAAAAATCCACATTTTTCTACCTTTTTCCAGGATAAAACACAAATTTGTCCTCCATTTTAAAACTTTCTGAAATTCGAGCTGGAGATGTGACGCTATTTCCAGTCAGGGAACACAGTGAACAGTCGATGCTCACTGGTTTTTATGGTGCATTGAGGGACTTTCAGGGAACACGAGCTCCAGCGCACTGTAACCATTTTGACAGTGAGACAAGCAAGAAAATGGCCGATTCCCTGGGCAGTACCCAAACTACTGACCTAGGGAGCTCTTTGAGACACACCCTTACTTTCAAGCGATGTTACTGATCTGCACAGGAGTGTTAGCTTGCTTGTAGCATGTGTGTAGCATTATTTCAAATCCTCAACAACCTTGAAATTCCAGGGATCCAGTCACGTGGTGCACACTGGACAAAACATGTCGGCTGTGAAACAGTTTTCTTTACCACAGTGTGGTGGAGATTTTTGAAGCGCATTTTCGCCATAGAGAAAACCGGCCTAGACCTGGACCTCCTAATATGGGCATAACGCCGACTACAGAATGTCGCACGACTTCAGAGGTCTATTCGGTCAATACTGTACAGTTTTTTTTCTGAAGACCATGAGAACTCATGCCAAATACAGTAGAAAATGTGGTGGAGGAACACCTCAAACTTAAGAAAAAAATTAAAATCAGCAGGTTGTCAAATTGCAAAGCAAAGCACACCAGTGGAGTAAAAGTCTGGGGCCTCATTTCAGAAACATTTGCAAAGATTTGAGCATAAAATGATTATGAAAATTCACGAATAATGAATTATAAAATGTGAATTTGACATGAAAATGTGCACAGATTTCATAGTGACCGTCCCAGTGTCCTCCCGGCATTAAGAAGTGTGCGTTTCGTTGAACATTGCTTCTTTATAAATGATTTGCTGAGGAATAAAGACCAAAAAATACATTTTAAAAACGAGGCCCCAGATTTCAGAAATTTCAGTAACTGTACATATGAAACATGAGATCCACACCAAATATTAAAACAAAAAAGAAGGAAAAAAGTCTACTCAAGGTAAGTAACTTTGATTTGCATCTTTTTTTTCCAATTTTAGCACTCGATTCAAATAAGTCATGAAATTCTTTTGAATTCCCAGCCACGAAATACACAAAATACTTTTCCACAGTAACATACTTTCAACAACACAGTGCCACTTTGCCATACATAGGCTCTCCCTCATGCTTTTGACGACAGTACTTAAAGTGCTTTTGTCTCTTACCTCCATTTCACACATGCATTCTTAGACTGACCTCAGGCGGCCTTTGCATCTGCACGTGAAAATCAATGGAATATCTATAAATACTATATTTGGTTCAGGCTAAGTTAGTTGCCCTTTTGCATTTACCATCACATGTGCAACATTTCTCAGTCAACACATCGACAAGCGAACAGATGCTTTCAAAACAGGCCGAGCACAGAAAAGGCACGCGGCCTTAATCGAGATGAGCTCGGAGGGAGTTTCGGACAGCTGGTGCCTCTTTGCTCATAAGTACAGCGGTCAGGATGTTCATCCTGAATGCCTGACCGCTTCAAACAGGAGTTGACAGTTTGGGTCGAGCCAAATCGTGGCTCTGAGAGTTTCCAGCTAAATCGTTCTTTTCAAGCTGTTCTTTTCAGGCCGAAACCGATTCACGAATCCAACTGAATCCCTTCTGCAACATCTTTGCAATCCTTTTGTCCAAGTTATAGGCTGAAGACTTCAAACAGAATCCAAAGGATAACCTGAGTCTGACTCCAGTGACCCGTCCAACAAAGCAAAATTAGCCAGCTGACCTTAATCTTTTGATTTTGTCTCATAACGGTGGATCACTTTTTACCAGGGTACACCGCCATGGCAACAACCTGCACACCTAACCCGCTCCAGGGCTGGTTAACACTGTGCTCAAGTTAGCTTGGGAGTGGGAGGAGCTTGGAATTATGTCACTGGTTTGATCTCTAAGTGCTCAAGCTACAAAGTGGAAACGCCTCTTGAAGTTCATGATGTGTTCACTGAAAATTCACTGTCAGTGTTATGAATTTAACCAATGAATATGTCTGTATGTTGACTGATCTAAAGCAAATCTCAATCAAAAGTAGAGAAGCGGTGTTTGATTACTGTTGAAGGTGTGAGCAGGCCAGCCATGTTGATATGACTTCATAGGCTGAGCTAGGCGCTTCCTAGGAATTCCTAAAAGAGAGAATGTTTTCTATTTTCCGAAAATGAAAATTCTGAGTTAGGAGCTTCAGTCAAATAGAGCATAAGGTTTGCATAATAAACCATAGCGAACCAATCAGAGCTCAGATTTTGACCAATCAGGGACAGTTTTCTGGTGGAAGTTCACCCTTCTGGTTCTTTTCGTGTCACTTTTCCTTTTCCTTTGTGACGTTTGTGGCATGAATCATGTGAAAAATATCACTTTTCTCAGAAGAAAACAAATCAAACTTCTTAGAAATCAAGAATATAAAGCAATTATTACTCAAATGTGCATAAGTGAACTCAAAATTGAGGACACCTTGCAGACTTTTGAGCTAAAAATTCCCACAGTGGGTTTTTCCTAGTTGGAGGTCAGAAATTCCGAGTTACGATCTCTAGTACAGCGCAGCATTGGTCAGGAATCCTGCCTAAGTTGAATGTGCTTTGTTCGACAGGCCTGAGGACTTCAGACTCACTTCCTGAACTGAATCCAATTGGATATGCAGGAGATGAGAAGTTGACTTGAATCCATGAATTGTTGAACTGGACATTCGATTCATTGAAATGGACAGTTTGAAAGAATCGGTCTGGTGAACTGAACTTCACATTACTATTTACAGCCCATTCAAGCCAGCTTGACCTGTGAACACAGGTGCTGGCTGACCAGGACAGAGAAAGGCTGAGTGGAATGGTTTGAAACCCTTCAGACACTTGCGCAGATGAACACACACACACATTATTCACGTACTCTCCCATTCACACACGCGCGCCCCCACGTCACAGACGTGTGCAGATGCGACGCAGAAGAAAACGCTGTTCTTCTTCCTGTCTAGAGCTTTGATAAGTTCCTCACATAGATAAATTAACAATAAATATCTACAATGCCTATATATATATATATATATATCTATATTTGTATAAATATATTGAAATATATATTCAATTCTGAAATAAACTATATATTTCACATATATTCATATAATCTGTCCACTCTTCAAACATTTTCAAGAGAGATGATCACAGTTTAGTAAGCAAACACTAATAAAAACAGGGGTTCTAGGCTGTCCGGCTGCAGTCTCCCTTTACTCACCATAACCTCGCTTTCTGGCTGCACGCCATGCATGTTTCTCAGTTATTCCTCTTCTATTGTATTACTTTGAAACCAAATGTAACATGACTGGGTGAATTAATGCCAGTTTATTGGATTCTAGTCAAACCTTCCATTTCTTTTGGTTGCTTTTTTTGACAGTAAATGCTGGCTGGACCAGTGCACTTGGTCAGTGGAGGCCTCAACAGTCTGCACTGAATGGTATTCAGATACATGTAGGCGCCAAGGCAGCTTGTCTAGATTTGATCCACCAATTTTTCAACATTTCTTCATGTAAAGAAAGTCTTTCAGAAGTTTTATGTGAAATGCTGCATTCTAGAGAAACTTACTCCGACAAGTCGGACTTGTTCACAGTGGTGGTGATAGGAACCAGACATCTGAAGCCTTTAAAAGCTACCTCAGGGAAAGTTATTACAAGAAATGGTGATGAATGCACTGCCTGATGCTTGAAACGATAGATTTAAAATATGGTTTTGGCTGAAAATGTGGTGGAGAGGTACATGTAGGGCATCATAAGGCAAATTAGTCCCTAATAAAGACTTATTTTTCAGATTTACCACTGCTCTACCATTGTCAGCGTAACATATCGTTACTCCAAAATTCACAGGAGAGGGCAAAAACATTCTTTCCTTTCAGTGTAAGTTAAAGGAAAGAGATTTTATTCTAAGCAATTTTGGAGCATTTCTATTGGTCTAATCATCATGAAATTTTCAAACTATGTCAAGGACAGCTGCTGAGCTCAAATGATGGAGAAAAGTAAAAATCGCAAAAAAACGGAGATGGGTCATTCTACAGAAACGTCCACTTTTCTATCTCTCTATAGATGTCACTGATCCTCATTGGTGTTACCCATAAGAAAGGTAATACCAGTGACCTTTTCAATGAAAAATGCTTTTTACAAAATGGCTGCTACAGAGCATCAAACCACACATTGTGAATCATGGAATATCCACTAAAATATGGAATTTGTGTTCTATTTTTTTCACAGTTACCTCAGAATAAAGTCGGTCACACCAGTGACGTCAGCTAAAAGCTTCATATGAAATCATGAGCTAAATGAGAAAATCTCTGATAACTGAAAGACACAGTGGACTCACCATGAGCTTTTCTTCATAGATCCTCAGAAAACAGGTAAAAGGAAGTCAAGTGATGTCATCAGTGTGATTTTTATTTCAAAATAAGAGATTTTTTGTTATGCGGTAACACCAGTGACACGACTCCTGGGGAACTTTCATTATAGATTTTAGAATATTTATTTAGCATCTGTTTTCTTTATGTCATTTACTTTATATATTCCATAGTCATGTATAGATTATTGTAGTTAAAATTGCAGAAAAATGTGTTTTTTCTTCAAAATATGTCTCTCCCCCTTTACACATGACTATGAGGACGAGCACTTCCGTGCTTGAAATTCTAGATAATTGATTTAAAAACCAATATTGCTAATTTAATGGCTGAAGAAGGTATAATTGTTAAAATAACATTGTTTTATTTGAAAATGTACGACAATTGTAACCCTAACATGTTTTTGAGTGTACTATATCTATAAACGCTAGGGAGACAAAAATGGACATTTCTGTAGAACGACCCAGATACAATTTTTTTCATTGGACAGTGACGATATTAATCTCAGAGGTTCATTGGTCATTTTGGATAGTAAATTAATTGGCTATATTTGTATTGTAGATACCATGACCCCAGGTTCCTATCACCACTGTAAAGAAGACTCTAAAATGAACCATTTCACAACAAACTCGAAATGACTTTGTTTACATCTCAATCATTAAATAACGCAGGTGGAATTCCTCATTAATATTGTTCTTGATCTATATGACACATTAAGCCCCACCATCACTGCTTTCTTGACACAAAATGCTTCAGAAATTTTCTCCCTGAATAACTCAGTAAGATTGGGAACAACAGGACCATAGTTTGGGGTCAGGTGGCACTGGTTTGCTTGGAGTGTGCAAAGGAGCCACCAAGGAACCGTTCTATCTGGTCCTCAAGGTTTCTTCAAGCAAAAGTCACTCTTCATAAATGTCTAGAGGACTCAATAAAGCACCCGTGAATGGCATGGTCAATTGAAGGATCTCTGCCATTCAATCTAAGTTCTATGTTGAACCACAAAGAAATTTCTAGAACTGGTTAGGGATTCAAGGCACTTCACCAATGTAGCACTGCCTTAGCTTATGCTATTAGCATCTATCGTTCTTGATCAATGCCATGTTAACCTGGTTCTTCAGAGAGCCAAGAACCACACAGCATCATTAAAAACTTTCATGTCCAAACCTTTAAACCTCCAAAAGGCCTTTTTTTTGCTTTTTTTTAAGAGTATAGTGCTTCTACTCAGTCAAGGGGGCAGTCGTGGGCTGGAGGTCGGGGAACCAGCCTTGTGACCGGGTCGTCGGTTCGAACCCCTCGGCCTACAGTACGTGACTGAAGTGCCCTTGAGCAAGGCACCTAACCCCCAACTGCTCCTTGGGTGCTGTGGATAGGGCTGCCCACCGCTCCAGGCAAGTGTGCTCACTGCCCCCTAGTGTGTGTGTTCACTAGTGTGCATGTATGTGGGTGTTTCACTGCACGGATGGGTTAAATGTGGAGGTCTAATTCCTCTGTTGGCTAATGGTTCTCAATTCAACACTTCTAAAAAAAGGCGATGTGACAAGAAAAGGGACACCGCAGCCTTACAGTCAGGAAGTCCAGAGTCCCTGGAGACTAAAAGAAGACATCACTGGCCTTGTCCTAATCCAAAAGAAAAGGGGTCAAACCACTTTGCTTGACGGACAAGAGGATAAAGAAGAATCTCCTTAAAAAAACAAAAAACAAAACATGCTCTTCATTTTGACTCCAGTCTGCTTCTTTAAACCATGGCTTATCTGTTTTCGTAGCGACTGCTAACAGTAAGCGACCGCCAGCAGCTAAAGACTGCTAACAGTACCGTGTCTTCAGAAAACTAAAGGCAGAGATAAAGAGGGGAAGATGACAGAGAAGAGTGTCCGGCTCGGTGAAACGTTACTTTCTCGTGATTCCACAGGAAGAGACTGTCCGTTGGTGTCCAGTGCTGGTTCTAGCGCTCGGTTCTCTGTTGAGGTGGGTGGCTAATGGCCCCCCTCTCTTTCTTTGCTGTTTTCCTCTCATTTCTCTGCTTGGCAGGAGTCAAATGCTCATACACAGATAGGCCCCTGTGTTTTCTGCCTCTCTCGGTCTGGTATGTATGTTCACGGACACACACACACTCACTCACTCACACGTGGCTCTACATTGCACGGTGCGCCCTGGTGGCCTGGAGGGGAAGTGCAGCTTCAGTGGTATCGACTCTGCTTCTCATCCGAGTCCGAGCCAAAGTCTCTTAAAGTCACTCCCCTCTGGAGACTCAGCAACGAGTCCTTCATCTGAGCGCATACACAAACACAAAACAGGCAACGTCAGTGAACGGAATTTCTAAACAAACGTATTGTGTATTTTGGTCTGTGTGTGATTTTGAGTGTATGTAACAGAGATGTTCACATGTCCATTCCTGTGAGTCTGAGTCCAGTCTCGAGTTTAATTTAGTCAGAGCCAGTTTAAGAGGAGCCTGGCCACTTCGTATTTCTCCCATTATACCAAAAGCATGTCTGCAAACCACTAGGGGGCACTAGAATCCTCAATGAATGGAGGTGAAAGGAGGTAAATGGCAAAAAACAAAACATTTTTGCTGGAACTTCCTTTTGGAAATTTTGGAAAGTCGAAGGAAACAATTCATTAAAATAATAATAATTTAAAAAAGCACAATACAAAGCACTTTATTTCCATTTTTCTACAGCATTAATGTTTTGTGGGGGGGTAGGACTGTAGCATTACTGCTAATGAGTGTCGATTAATTGGCTACTGAGTGCTGATTGCTTGACATTACTGTGACTGAGTGCTAAATGGTTGGCATTACTGCTGCTGAGTACTGATTTGTTGGCATTACTGCTACTGAGTGCTGATTGGTTGACATTACTGTTTCTGAGTGCTGCTTGGTTGGCATTACTGCCACTGAGTGCTGATTGGTTGCCATTATTGATACTGAGCGCTGACTGGCTAGCATTATTGCTACGTGCTGATTGGTTAGCAGTACTGCTACTGAGTGTGAACTGCATGATATTTCTACTACTGAGCTCTGATTGGTTGGTAGTAGTGCTACTGAGTGCTGAGTGGTACTGAGTGCTGATTGGTTGACATTAGAGCTGCTGAGTGCTGATTGGCTGGCTGATCAGCTCACTGGCTGGGTAAAGCTATTCACACATGCTGATGTTATGAAGGCACTGTTAGAAAGTTCTATAACTGAAGCTCAAATGTGCTAAAAATATAACAGCAGTGTTGAAATATTTGATGCTATTCTGTGTTGAGAAATTGAGTAAATGTTTTTTTGCTCAAAAGCTCCACAGGAAACTATATGATTTTAGATTCTGACAAAGACATTAAGTGGCAATTATGAACATATTACTGAGTGGCAGTTCTCCTCACTGGGAATTCTGTGGTATAGTATTGTGATCAGTTGCAGACATTCCATTGAACAAAAGTAAACCCTACCAAAGACCTGTCATGTTCAACACAGCTTCAAGTAATGAGCCTTTCATTAAAGAATTAAATAAATAAACTTGAGTCTGGTGGACAGAATGAAGCTCTTCATTCAGTACACACTGTGTTTAAAGAAAAGAGGCAACTTTTGCTTAGTCTGTAGTTTATATAGCAAGTATGCTAGCTAAGTAGTGTAGAAACGGATCCAGCTGAAGTTAGCAAGTTTTAAAAGAACGTGATTCCCTGATAGCAAGAGGACAGTGGTCTACTGTCGGCCCACTAATGGCAAAGCTGGCGGTCCACTGGCGTTTTGCTCAGCGTTTTCCGGGTGGTCCACTGGTGGTTAAGTGGAGTATTAGACAAAAGTCCACTTATCATCGCTCATTTTCCCTTCACAGTCCAATTTACTGATTTTTCCTTCCTTCCTTTCTTTAGTCACACTTTGTACATTTTTTAGTTATACTTTGTAAATTAGATTAGTAAATCATTTTAATCTAGCACAGCTTTAGCAACAACATTTTCTATAGAATAATTTTATATCAGGCCTAGTCATTGTTTTTTTTTTCTCTTGGTTGTTTGTAAAATTTGTATACGTTTATTTTTTAACATAAAAGTCTCTGTGCATTTAAAATCTGTTTGAGGAGATTAAAAACTAGCTAGAGCTTGTATGCAGGACAGTAATCTGGTCAGTCCGAGGGTGGACCAGCAGTGGCAAACAATCAAGGGGTGCCGACCTTATCAAACGAGCGGACCGATATACGCTCGCTGTCTGGGTTGCTAAAACTTCAGATGGATTAGTTGGCAACTTCAGGTAAAGTATCTATGGTGTAAGCTAGCACACTTGCTAGACTCTAGACTTGCTTCACTCTATGTAACATTTCGTTCTGACTCTAATCCCCATCTCTGGGATGTAAGACTGAACGTGTTCTGTACCTGGTCCAGCAGCAGCACTGACGACTTGATTATTTCTCTCCATTTCTGCAGCTCAGCTTCATGGAAGCGCTGCTGAGACTCCAGGAGCTGAGCCCACTCCAGCTGCGTCTGTGGTAACTTACTGCAAGCACATACATCCAATTTTAAATATTTTAAATTGTAGTTACTACGGTTAAAAGGCAATTCCATCATTGAGATGTAAAGAAAGTCATTCAGAGTGGTTTGATGTAAAATGGTTCATTGTAGAGAAGGTTGTGGACAGTGGTGGTGATGGGAACCAGGCATCACAATGTCTACAATACAAATACAGCCATTTTATTTACTGTCCAAAACTAGTAAACCTACATGTGTCTGTGTCTTCTGAGTTTTGATATGTGATGTCTACGATGGTAACAATCTGGAAAATAAGTGTATTTGGGGACTATTTTACCTTACAATGTCCTAAATATACCCCTCCGCTATGATTTGGTTACAATGTGTTTAGGCCAAAACTTTATCACAAAGCTATTGTAATGAAATGTCTCAGGTATCAGGCGGCGTTTTGTGAGGACATTTTTAGAGGCATTAAACCAAACATCTGGTTCCAGTCAGCACCACTGTGAATAATCCAGACTCAGTAAGTTTCCTTTCAGAATGATTTGAATTGTTTATTGTCTCAGAAACTTTAAGAAATTGGTGGAGTTCCCCTTTAAGGTTAAGGTTAGTCATACAAAATTCTTCTCACACATGGGTACTTACATATCATCGCCATCAGAGCAAAATCTCATCTCAATTTTTGCTGTTTTCATTTTTTTTAAGAATAAAATCTTACATGTTACACAAAAAGTTGAGAATGTTTTTGCTTCTCCTGTAAAGTGACTTTATTGGAGATACAATCTTTGTTCTCACAGTAATGATATACTTAATACCCATGAGACACATTATTATATGTAGAGTATAAAAACTTTTTCAGGCACGTGAAAAAAATGAGAATGAAAAAAAAGCAAATTATCTAAGCATTTATTTGCTCATAAAATATTGAAACAAATACAAACAATATTCATCATTTTACATGTCAATGTGTTTGCTGAACCATCTGAAAACAACTCCTCGTGGAAGCCCAGTATTAACTGTTGGTATCATCCAACGCCTGGTTTGGCTATTTAATACTTCATTATGTTAAATCAAATATGCTGGTGATGGAATTTAATAAATGGCTGAGGGCATCTAAGAGATATTTGGAACCAAACTGTCTTTTTCAAACTAGCTCACAAGATCTCAACTACTATTTTTGTCACCTTTCACTGTATTTTTGTTTATTTGCACTTATGCTAATGATATATAGTATTTTTACAAGCACAAACACACTTTTTGGCAGAATACATGGCTTTAAACAATGTACTTGGGGGCCTAAGACTTTAGCACAATACTGCCAGTATGTAGGTCCTATTATGACCACCTCCTTGTTTCTACGCTCACTGTCCATTTTATCAGCTCCACTTACTATATAGGTGCACTTTGTAGTTCTACAGTTACAGACTGTAGTCCATCTGTTTCTCTGCATACTTTGTTAGCCCCCTTTTACCCTGTTCTTCAGTGGTCAGGACCCCCATGGACCCTCACAGAGCAGGTACTATTTGGGTGGTGGATCATTCTCAGCACTGCAGTAACACTGATGTGGTGGTGGTGTGTTAGTGTGTGTTGTGCTGGAACAAGGAGGTGGTCTTAATGTTATGACTGGTCAGTGTATATGGGACATATTATTATTGCATACAGCCGCTTACATGTTGTCCCAGTTGGACACTGTCATTTTTCATTTACATACATTTACATTATTTGAAAATGCCAGCTACTCTTTACATTGTGTCAAAGATTCCAATCTAATAGACCAATTGAAATGGTTTAAAATGACTTAAATCTTGTTACACTCACTTCCTGTAAGTAAGTGTTTTTTTCCTTCTTCTGTATATGTACCCGTTGGGAAATACAAGGTTTTGTTCTGACAGTAACAGTTTAAATAATACATATGAGACGTATGTGTGACTCAACATCCTGACAAGATATAAAATCATGAGTGTGTGTCTGCATTATGCACACTGCACTATACAGACTGTGCGGTATATGTACCTCTTGTCTAAGCGTAGGCCTTGCCAGGTCATTAGGCTCTGTGCAGAATACTCCAGCATCCACAGCTTATAGAACAGCATCATGTTCAGAAAAACCAGCAGCACCAGACTAAAGGGAGCACACACACACACACACACACAACCCGGTCACACCACCGCCCAAAGCAAAACCGACCAGACAAAAACATCAAAGAGGAAAAAAAGCAATTAAAACACTGGGAAACAGAAGACGAGCCAGCGACAGAAAGCTTTAAGGCTAACAGTGAAAATACTAGGAGTCTATTTATCTTAAGGTTCTTTTACTGGCCGAATGAATAGAAAACGCTACTATTAAAAGCATTTTAATTATGCAATAAATGTATGTACCTTATGCAGATCCTAAGGCCAGCCAGGAGACAGACAAACACAAACAATTGCATTAATAGAAACATAACCAGAAAAAAAAGCACATTATTGGAATAAATTCGCTATAGGCCAAAAGTTTGGAAGCAACACTAACTTTGTAAACGTATGCATGAAAAATGTATTTTTTTCCAAAATATATTAAACAATGGTGTGCTGATTTTGAAAGAGCGTTGACTAACCTAGGGGCATTTCAGTCAAATTTGAAAATTGAATTTATAAAACATTCTAAAAAACACCTCCAATGTAAAGATTAACAGACATATGCCAATCATCTATTACCTCAGCCATGTTACTAGCCTAGTCACAGTGTAACTTATTTCACCTCATAACTTTGTGAGGAGTTAGTTAGCTGAGCTCTGTGCTGTCAGCAGCGCGGCGTGGCCCTTCTCGTCCAGTGTGCACTAGCCTTTAGACGGCTGCAGTAGTCTTTGATTCCTCATTGACTTCTAATGAAATTCTGACTCATCCTGAGATTTAGGCCCAGTCCCATTTCTTCTTTTTACCCCTACCCCTTGTTTTCGAGTGTCACCCTAACCCCTTGGAACTGAGTTACAAGGGGTAGTGGTTGAAATCTTGCCCTACGAAATGGGACCCTCAAATTAAAAAAAAAAAACAAAACAAAAAAAAAACATTGCTTTATTAAGAGGCTACTAGCGCTGCTCTGTAGGCGACCCTGCCAGTCTGCAGTGACAGCAGAGGAGGGTAAAGTTCAGCTCCTCACAGCTGGGCTTTAGTTACATTTAGGGCATCATATGCCTTCAAAGAGCGGGGCTATTATTTATTATTGCCCACCGCTAATTCTTCAGGGATATGAAGCTGAAGTCAGATATTCACCAGCTTCTCTTTCAAATTTTCCCATTCCACCTTAAATGGTGCAGCAGTTACATTCTGGCACTTCAGGCGTCAGAACTGCTGGACTATTTAAGGTGGAATGGGAAAGTTAGCTAGCTAGCTACCGAGATATTAGCATGCTATTAGCAATTTTTTATGCTTGTTATGAAGAAAACAACCATAATACACTGAAATGATATTAAACTAAGAGAATACAATAGTTAACGTAATTTTTAACAGAGAAAATTCTCACATTTGTGGGTTTCTTTGGTCGCTCGTGGAGCCATCTTGCTGGTTTTTTTCTTTTTTTCTCATAACTCTGTTTGGAGTCTCTGAAAAACCTCCAACACTTCGCCCTCCCCCTCTATCTCAACAAGAATCGGGACACCCTAACCCTAGATGTAAGCGTGCAGTGGTAGGGGCGAGGGGTGAAATGGGACTGGGCCTTAATGTCTTACTAATGTTACTTATGAGTTTTCACAGACACTTTCTATGAATATCATTCATAACGCTTTACAATGTATTCATAAGGCATTATAAACACGCCTATAAATAGTCCTGAAAGTGCATTACACATTATCACCATGTTTATAACATGCACTGCAAAAAATAATACCTTAGCAAGTGCACACATTTTAAACGTAGTCAATAAATCTAATATTTCTCATTATGAGGCTGTTGTAAGAATATTATAAGATCATTCCACCTGTTTCTTTACACTGTAAAAAGTGTTGTATTCCACTGGCAGATTGGTTTACTTTTTTCGAGAAATAATGATAATTTTGCATTTTTTTAAATAAATAATGCTTAAAACATGTAAAATCATCTGCCAACTGACTACGACACTTTTGTAAGATAAAAGTGTTTAAAAACAAGTAAAAATTCTAGAAATAAGTTAAATAATCTCACAATTTTCTCACAACAGTCTCATAATGACAAATATTAGATATATAGACTACATTTAAGATGTTTACACTGGCTAACTGAATTGTTAATGTAATGTAGTGTTTATAACACGTTATACTGTCAGTGCCAGAGATACTCAGTCTCAGCATAATGCATTATAACAAACAAATCTGCCTACTCATAAATGCACTCTGAGCTATGCCATGATTTCTTATATGAACTTATGTCTTATACCTGTCTGGAGTGGAATAATAATTGCTTGCTTTGTAACGTTTTTGCAACCCTCAAATTCAAAGTTCAAGAATTCATGCACTAGTAATTATGGCTATAGATTATTTTTGATAGATGATATAACAGATGATTGAGAGATTATTATATGAAATTTGTGTTGGTTATTGGTGAACTGATTTAAAATTAGAGATGGCATATCAGCATCAACGGGCATTGGGCTGATTTCAGCAGGTTTCAGTCGCTGTTTGTATTGTATCTCTACTTAAGATTAAGTACAATAATAAAACAATTACTGCTTGTTTCCAGACTTTTGACCTGTAGTGTGATCGTGGCACTAAAGGAACAGCAAGTATCAGAGATAAAATGAGAAAAAGTGAAATAGTGGAGAAAGGAAGAAATGCAGAAGTGAGAGTGAAAGAAAGGGAGGTGTACTTACACAAAACTGATAATGAGCAGCAGTTTGGAGATGCTGCAGAAAGGCCCGCCTGCAGGGGTGTGTTCAGGTGTCTGTCTTGTTTGGGTGGAGCCTGTTTTCAAAAAAACAGTAGTGATGCTGTTAATATGACTCAATATGACCATTCTACAACAGCGTTTTAGGGCCACTGTTAATAAAAATAAAATAGTAGAATAAAGTCATAATATTTCAAGGAAAAAAGTCATTATATTTTGAGAAAAAAGTCGTAACATTATTCTGAGAAAAAAGTTATAATATTCTGAAAAAAAAGTCGTAATATTTAGAAAAAAAAAGTCGTAATATTCCGAGAAAAAAAGACTACTATTTCAAAAAAGGGGGTACTATTTCAAAAAAAAAGTCGTATTATTTCAAGAATAAAGTCGTAATAAAGGCGAAGTCTGCTATTTTTATTTTTATTAACAGTGGCTCTAAAACGCCGTCGTACCATTCAGTGTTTTACAGTAACTGAATATTCACGTTGTTCACTAAGAATAGATTCAGTATCAGTCAAACGTTTGGACAAGTCTATTCATAGAAGGGTTTTCCTTATTTTAACTATTTCTTTATTTTCACTGTTATATTCAGTAGTATTATATTTACTACTTTACTAATATTCAAATATCAGAACCCCCCTTTGACTTGACACAGTAGCCACGTTTACCTGCAGCCTGACAATCCGTTAATAATCCGACTAATAGCTCAACTGGAATAGAATACATCCACGTAAACACCTCAGTTGGAATAGTCTAGTCTGATTAAGACCATTCGGAATACAACTTCTATCCAATTGATCGAGGTGGGTAATCCTGTAAATAATCCATTAAATAGAAGAATAATATCCGTGTAAACGCCTGTATCTGATTACATTCCCAATCTGAAAGTTTAAGTATGTTCTGATCATGTTCGTCACGTCATGGTAAAAGTGAAATCAGTTTCAGAAATCACAGTGAGAAAATAAATACACTCAACTATGAAAAGAAATAGAAAAACCTAAAATCTAAAATGTGCCATAATTTCTGCACAAGCCAGGTTTTATGTTTTATTTTTGTCCTCCAATATTTTTATTTTTTCCTCCAATTCAGCAAATAAACAGTAATTCTGTGTTAAAATGTGCAGAAATATGTTCACTGTAACTTATTTTCACTTAGAACATCAACAAAACATAGTTTGGCTGGAGCTTTTACCCTGTTCTTCAGTGGTCAGGACCCCCATGGACCCTCACAGAGCAGGTACTATTTGGGTGGTGGATCATTCTCAGCACTGCAGTAACACTGACGTGGTGGTGGTGTGTTAGTGTGTGCTGCGCTGGTCTGAGTGGATCAGACACAGCAGTGCTGCTGGAGTTTTTAAACACCTCAGTGTCACTGCTGGACTGAGAATAGTCCACCAACCACAAATATCCTGCCAACAGCGTCCTGTGACCACTGATGAAGGACTAGAGGATGACCAACACAAACTGTGCAGCAGCAGATGAGCTATCGTCTCTGACTTTACATCTACAAGGTGGACTGACAAGGTAGGAGTATCTAATAGAGTGGACAGTGAGTGGACACAGTGTTTAAAAAGTCCAGCAGCACTGCTGTGTCTGATCCACTTGTACAAGCGCAACACACACTAACACACCACCACCACCACAGTGCTACTGCAGTGCTGAGAATGATCCACCACCCAAATAGTACCTGCTCTGTGAGGGTCCATGGGGGTCCTGACCACTGAAGAACAGGGTAAAAGGGGGCTAACAAAGTATGCAGAGAAACAGATGGACTACAGTCTGTAACTGTAGAACTACAAAGTGCACCTATATAGTAAGTGGAGCTGATAAAATGGACAATGAGGTCAGTTTATGTGTGTCTATCATGCGTATGTTTGTGTGAATGTAATTTCGACCTGCCACGTGTTTGATCCGCTGGATGACCTCCTCGTCGGTGGGCGTAGTTACAGGGCTGAGTGTTTCTTCCAGATGTGGCGTTCGCAGATGTGGAAGGGGCCTTTTTCTCCGCCTCAGGGTGGAGCTCTTCAGCGCTTTAGCTTTAGGAGATGGCCTGTGGGACTCTAACAGAGTGTCCTCTGCTTTAGCCAGCTCGAGCTCTGCATGAGTGAAGGGGGTGATTAAAGGAAGAGTTTGGCAAAAAAATCAAATTTACACTAAAAAATCGATTTCACACTTATCCCAAACGCAGTCGGTTAGCCAAGACATGTTAAATGTTTGCTGTTCAAAACTGCTCTAGTGTAGAACTGGATCTATGCGGTGGGTCATTGCCAAAAGCCACAGTTTGCATGAGTCTGCATCAGCAGGAAATCAGTGGTATCATTTCAGACTACCTGTAGATTCCTGCTATTGAAAAATGGAACCCAACACTTTTTTGGACAACAGTTTTCAGAGGTTTATCGTTATTCAATACACAACTTCTAACTCTCTTATAGTAAGCAATCCTTGAGTATTACTGTGCTAATGCTATGTACCTGTGCAGTGACGTTTCACAGCACACAGCTGCACTGCATCCTCCCAGAGTTTGAAGGTAGAATGGTACCGGGAAAGTGGGACATTATGATGGTGTACTCCGAATTTTAGCTTAAATGTGTACATGAATCTGTTCATGTTTTGATTTTCTGTACCCTCTTAAAAAAAGATGGTTCTCCAAGGGTTCTTTAGTAAAGAAAACAGTTCTATATAGAGGCATGAACACTCAAAGAACCCTTTGCATGATTAAAGGGTTCTCTGCATCATGAAAGCGTTCTTCAGATTGATGGAGAATGTGCTGTAGATGGTTCTATATATAGAACTTTTTTGTAAAGGGTTCTATATAGAACCAAAAGGGTTCTTTTATTGTAACAAGCCTGATATCGTAACAATAAAATAACTCTTTTTTGTGTTATATAGAACCCTTTCCAATTATATATATATATATATATATATATATATATAGAACCATCTACAGCACATTCTCCATTAATCTGAAGAACGCTTTCACGATGCAAAGGGTTCTTTGAGTGTTCATGCTTCTATAACCATTTTCTTTACTAAAGAACCCCTGAAGAACCATCAGTTTTAATGGTGGTATGGTAATCTGGTAATGGTAATCTCCAGCAGGAAACTTTTCCAAAAGTAGAACAGTTCCTTTTCTCAACGTTCGACTTTTTATGAAGCTGAATTCATCTTCTCATTCGCCAACTTCTTGTTCAGATTTTCCTGCTCCACCTTAAATGGTGCCTGAGGCGAATTTGGCGAATGAGAAACTGACTTCAGCCTCGTGACTTTTTAGTGTTTGTCAGTTTCTCGTTGCAGATTAAACGTATCAGAAAACCAGCTGGAGTGATTATAAACGCAAATAAGTCCATTCGTCTCCAAATTATCGATGTTTGTCTTAAATCTTTCTCTTTGTCGTTTCGTTAGCTACTAGCTAGACGAGACTGTTGTCTGCATTGCTATGGTGACCAGCAGTCTGCGCTGATCTTCAGGGTTAAAGGGTGAATTAGCAGTTCTACATTAACTCCAGCGTTTAAGACCATTTATTGTTAAACCGTGTTGAACGATCAGCAGAGCTTTATTTTACTGCAAAGGAGGATCATTTTATTTTTACCTAATAATCTAATTCTGCTGTGGAGCCAAAACAGGGCAGTAAAAGAGCCGCATGCAGCTCCAAAGCCACGCATTGCCGACCCCCTGTGGCAGATCATGTCAAAAGTAGGACGTTTGATAAGCAGTGTATGCTGGCAATAGACCTTGAGGTGAGTCTCAAGTGGACATTTAATTCCAACTCAGCTGAGTATGTCTTACCCAGGCTCCTGAAGTTCTCCTCCAGCCCACTCCAGAAGTTCTTTTCAATGAAGCCCTTCACCAGCCCCCACGGCTGCTTCCTATAGCGCAGCTCTGTAGAAACCCTGAGAGGAAGAGTCCAGTTTCAATTGAAATGTTTTATCATTTCCTTAAATAAAAAAAAACAAAATATCAAGGAACAAAACAAACAAACAGACAAAAAAACGGTGCTTGAGAAGAGCGCACACTGATGATCACCCAGTGATGGTGATGGCACGTTATAGTGTTTGGGGTGTCTGACGCTCTCATAGGCATTTTGTATCTATTTTCATTAAATCCTGGAATAGCAGCACCTTTTGTTCCCGACTAATAATAATAAACTACAAGTAATATTAGTGTAATTTATTAATATTGGTAGTTTATTAATAAAGTAATATTGGTACTACTACTGCAAAAAAATGGGATCTTGTCAAGTGAAATGATTTTAAATCTAGTCGACATATCTAATATTTCCCATTTTGAGATGGTTGTGCTATTATCATAAGATTACCTAACTTATATCTAGATGTTATTTAATAATAATAATAATAATAATAATAATAATAATATTATTATTATTAGACGTTATTTACTTGTTTTAGGTCATTTTAGTAAGTAAAATTATCTCAGTATATTGGCAGATCATTTTGCTGGTTTCAAGCACATTTCTTAAAACACAGAAAATTATTTGCCAGTACTGTGAGATAATTTTACTTCATTACTTAAAACAAGCAAAAATACACAAAAATAAGGTGAATATTCTTAAATTAAGCTTGCTACAATCTCAACAGGTGAAATATTAGAATTATTGACTATATTTATCACAATTTGACTTGACGAGACACCATTTTTTGCAGTGTATTAGTAGGAGGAGTAGTTTAATGAGCCTTTCTGTACTACGACACTTTGTTTTAGGATTAGCTAGAACGCACCTGAGCCGGCACTTGTTCTTGGCCACGCGGGTCAGCGCGTAGCGGTTAAGCGTGTAGAAGTAGTCGTGATAAGGGACATCATGAGTGACGACCTCCGCGTCGATGATGTAACACTCGCTCTCCTGGCTGGCCTTGTACAGAGTCTGAGTGAGTGAGCGAGAAAGAGAGAGAGAGGATTACATAAGTGACAGCAAATCTTCAGAGACAGACATATCACGACAAAACTGAATGATGTTGTTGGCTGTGGTGGAGTGGAGTGTTTGAGAAGTCGAGGTTTAGCCAAGGTTTTAACATCAGTGTTGGAGAAGAAAACTGCATCACAGTCTACATTCAACTACTGACTCAAAGGGGACTCAACCCTGTCTGTCTAGATGTGTATATGGAATATTATGCAATTATAAAACAATACAAATGATAGAATTGGCGAAATGGAAAAGAGCTGCCAGATAATTCAACATCCACTCCTACAAAAGCAAATTTAAAACAGATTTTAAATATTTACTGCTACAACATTTATGTGGAGATAATACAGAGATTTGCTGAAAAGGTGTTGCTGTGTCTTTTTTGTGCATAGAAAAATATATATCTATATAATTATATATAATATTGCTGTTGTCAGAGCAAAATCTCAATTTTTGTTGTTTTTTCAGTTTTTGACAGTTTAAAAATGCCTGTTTTCCTTCATATTTTGTGAAAACTTCATGATGAATGGATCAGAAGAAATGGCCCAAAATGACTTGGAAAAAAGTCTGGTTACATTAACTTACATTTAAAGTAAGTATGTTTTTGCCTTCTCCTGTAAAGTTTTCATTTTTAGAGATACACGGTTTTCTTCCGTTAGCAGCGATTCATAATTATATAATACCAATTTTAATATAGGGGCGGAACAGTGGCGCTGTCGCCTCACAGCAAGAAGGGCCTGGGTTCTATTCCCCGGCTGGGCAACCAGGGTCCTTTCTGTGTGGAGAGCATGTTCTCCCCGTGTCTGTGTGGGTTTCCTCCCACAGTCCAAAGACATGCAGTCAGGCCAATTGGAGATGCTAAACTGCCCCTGAGTGTGAGTGTGTGAGAAGAATATATATATTTATATATGCGTGTGGGTACTCCAATAAAAGCATGTATGTATATATTAATAATATCAAAAGTGCAGATTCTAATTTTTAATTGATGCATTTGTATTCATATGGAAATTTGTGGAAAGGTTGTTGCTATGTCTTCTTTTTTGTGGAAAGAAAAACCATCGTTTACATTTTTTGCCATGTTTTTCGCTAAATCTTGACATAAAAACAAACAGAAACAAGCTGGAAGTGCAGAACTGAGCCAGTACAGAATGTAAATATAATTACACAATTCTAAAATGCAAAAATGACAGTAATGAATATATTTCTAAAGGTAAGGTTTTTTGAGATGCAGTGTCACTGTGACTCACCTGAGTCTCGCTGACGGTGGCTGTTTTGGGTGCTAGTGGGTTGGAGAGGGAGATGGTGTACATTATCTCTCTCTTCTGATTCCCCGCCTCCTCTTTCTTCCAAGGGTGAAAGACAATATCTGTGTGTGTGTGTGTGTGTGTGTGTGTGTGTGTGTGTGTGTGTGTGTGTGTGTGTGTTCGTGGACACAAACAGAGAGAATAAACAGTCATTATAGGATATTGACTGACATTTTGAATACCGAAGGGGAAACAAATATTCATTATCTGGTGTTTGGTATTTGGTATTATTTGCTATTTGGTTTTTGTTATTTAATATACAAGTACTGTGTAAATATGAACAAAAAAGCATGTATTCATAAGAAGAAACATAAATAAGTTTAAAAGACAAAACTGAAAGGGATAAAAGTATCTAGACACTGCAAATGAATGACATTAGTACTTTGTTGCAACGCTGTTGTTGGCAATTACAGCTCTGAGACGTCTATTGTGGTCTGTTCATTTTGGCATACTGTCTTCAGTTCCCCAAGGTAATCAGGGCTCTTCTGATTCCAAATACATTTTCAGTGCAACTGGCTAGACCATGCAAGCACCTTCACCTTCTTTTTCAGAAATGTGTGTTGACTTATTTTGGCTGTATGTTTGGGCTCGATTTACTTTTGAAATGCCCATTTTCTTCCCAGATTAAGTTTCTTGGCCAAAGAGATTAAACTATCCTCTAATATGTCCTGTTCGTATTTCCTTTAACAGCCTGTAATACCCTGGTGTTGTCTGCAGAGAAGCAGCCCAGTATCATGATGCTCCCACCCTCATACCTCACTGTGGGTTTGGTGTTATTGGGATCACACACACAAATATGATGAACTGAACTATTGCCAAAGAGTCCTATTTCTGTTTAATCTGGCCACATTGTCCCAAACTTGTCTTTACTTCTGATTTGCCTCAGTGCTTGTGTGCACATTTTAGATGCACATCTCTGTGCTCCTTTTTTAAGCAGAGGAGTTTTGCGTGGGGTGTAGAAACAGAGATGACTACAGTGCATTACGTATTGTTCTTTGTGTAACTGCTGCTTTCAGGTCAGACTCAGTCTGTGTGAGTGTGTGTGTCTGGGTGTGTATTTCATACCTGTAAATCTCCTCTGCTCCATGAAGTCAGACATAAACTGCGACTCGGTGAAGAGGAACGAGTACATCTTATCCACACTGAACTTATACACCTCATTAATGTACTGACGACCATTCAGGTCTTCATGGAACGCCTGGACCTCCACTTCTGAGAACAAACACAGAGAGTGAGAGCTGTTTACATCTGTTTTACACCTGTATTTTAACATTTTAACAAGATTTTTAACATTGGAACTTCACTTAGACCGACATATTGTGTGGGGTTAAAGCAGTAATTCCCAATCCCAGTTTGATCAAATAAGAACGAGTACTGGGTTCGTAGGTCACGCATGTCTATCTCTTCTTAATCCCTTAAACAGCCACGAAACGAAGGCTGGTCCAAACCTTTACGACACACTTCTATACATATAACTAAGCCACTTTGTATTGTAGTCCATGTAGTTATTAAATAATATGCCTTAGCATGGAATAAGCCTGGGATTTGAAAGGCAAGTGATTCAGACATATAATTTGCATTATGCTAAACTGTCGGTTCTACAGTATGAATCTAAAAATAATGCCACAATCCAATAATTCAACCATTCAAAACAGTAGACCTGATATGTCAGCTGGTGATAGTCAGTCAGTTTTCTAAGAAAGTTCAGCTTATGTATATATATATATATATATATATATATATATATATATATATATATATATATATATATATATATATATATCGCTGTCGTCAGAACAAAACCTCGTATTTCCAAAATGGTAACTTTACAGCAGAAAGAAAAAACATACTTTACTTTCAATGTAAGTCAATGGAACCAGACATTTTTCCAATTCATTTTGAGCCGCTTCTTTTGGTCCATCCATTATAAATCTTTCACACAACATAAAGGACAACTGTTGCTTTCATATGTACTTATATAAAGCTGCATTATTAATGTGGAACCATACTAAGGTACTTAGTATTTCCTAAACTCGGTGGAGTAATAATTTTCTGTTTGGGTCCCAGTTTGGTATCAGTTCTCTGGGTCCTAGAGTCTAAAAGTTTAAGAACCCGTGCTCTAAACTGGAATATAAATTTTATTTTTACCAGCACTTTTAATTTAAATTTAGGTTGTATGCAAATGTGTGTAAATCTGTACTTGTCTTGTTACTTCTGTAAGGACCAAATGTCCTCACAATGATAGAAAACCAAGATATTTTGTACAAATGAGGACCATTTTACTTGTCCTCACTTGAAAATGTGCTGTCTTCACCACAAATTTAAAGAGCAGAAACACTCTTTTGGTTACTGAGGTTAGGTTAGGTTTAGGTTTAGGTTTAGGTGTAGTATATTATTACTTGGCTACAGTAATACAGAAGTCTATGGAGGTCCTCACAAGTGAGGTATAGTCAGACCTAATGTGTGTGTATACATATATATGCCTACCCTCATCGTGTGTGTCTGAGGAGTCGCTGAGCTCTGTGGGTATGTCCTCATTATCGTTAAAGTCGAGTGATGGTGAGGGCACTGGGCCTAGCTGACCTCCGCCTGGCTCGCAGTTCCTCTCCTCCGCCAGCAGGGGCAGCGGCAGCAGCTCACTGTCAGCAAGGCAGTCTGTGTACTCCTCAGGAGCAATGTCAAACTGAAACCAACAGAGGGCACCACTTAGAACATGCAGCAGGACATCTGCAGTCTTTCATTACGTTTACAAGGGGAATTCCACCCAGTTTTAAAATTTTTGCCTTGAGATGTAAGCTTACAGAATTGTTCACAGTAGTCTGAAAACTTCAATGCCTTTTGACTGAAAGTTAGTAGACACAGATTTACTACTGTTTCTCAATCACCAACATTACTTTTAAAAACTGATAGTCAATAAAATGGCCATATTTGCATTGTAGACACTGTGACTCCTGGTTCCTATCACCACCACTGTAAACAAATCAGGGGGAAAGTTTCTCTACAAATCTGAATAACTTTGTTTACATCTTAATTATTTAATTAAGCAGAATTTTTGTGAAATTAGTAGAATTCCCTGTTAAAGGTTTGTTAATTTGCTGTTTCAGTAGTGTGTTTTGATGCTTCTTGTAATGAGGATCCTGTATGTATGTACGTATGTATGTATATATGTTTGTCTGTATGTATTTGTAGGTGGCAACAGTAGCATATTCAGGCCACTTGGTGGCGTACTAGAACTGATGGTAGAGCATGTATTTGATAAATGTGTCTCCGCTCTCACAGACAGTGGCTTATCTGTGCTGCTGGGTGGGTTTTCGTTGATGAGTTGATGGTGGAGTGCGTAACTGATATTCACTCTTAAAACAGATGGTTTTTCAAGGGTTCTTTAGTAAAGCAAATGGTTCTATATAGAACCATGAAGACTCAAAGAACCTTTTGCATGATTAAAGAGTTCTTTGCATTGTCAAAGCGTTCCTCAGATTGATGGAGAATGTTCTGTAGATGGTTCTATTTAGGACCTTTTTGAAAAGGGTTCTATATAGCACCAAAAAGCGTTCTTCTATTGTTACAAGCTTGACATTGTAACATTAGAAGAAGCTCCTTTTTGGTGCTAAATAGAACCTTTTTCAGAAACTTCACTTCAAAATCAACAAACCATGTGATTTAGCTGGGGGTGCCCAAACTTTTGCATACAACTGTACATCCTTGTGTGCTATTCCACTTTCTTTGTTACCCTTTTTATTTTTACAGAATTATATTTACAGTTTTTAACCCCTTAGCTTGGCTACATAGATGAGCGTCACCCTCAGTGTTACTCAGGTTTAAACAGAGGTTGATTAGTTGATTGATTGATAATATTAATGAAAAATATAAAAATATCAAAGCTGATTTCCATTCTGGGCACTGCAGAAAGAAGCTGCAGTGTTTTTACTAGTACAAACACATTTACTGCCCATATAAATGGTTTTAAACTGTTTTCTCATGAGGTCATGAGGTGTGCTTGTGTGTGTGTGTGTGTGTGTGTGTGTGTGTGTGTACTCACAGACAGTGGCATGTCGGTGCTGCTGGGTGGAGTTGTAGAGTTGAGGGTGGAGTGTGTGATGGACCTCTTGTGGGATGGAGGGCTGCTGTCCGGCTTATTCTCTCCGCTGCTCTTAGACGAGTTATCATTACTGACCTCGTTCTCTTCAGCTGGGATTTCTTCACAGTACCTAAAACACACAAACGAGGAAAGCTGAAACACGAAGGAAAGTTCAAACAGTCCCGTTTTTTGTACTTATGTATGTGCTCTATATATCTACTACCACTGTCACCGCTCTGTGAATGAGACTGAATATGTGGGACTGCATGTCTGGTGGATCTATAAGACTGAGTGTGTGTGTACATATATGCACCGATGTGTAATTGCACTTGTGTGTAATGTATGTGTGTGTTGTGTGTTTACCCCATTGTGTTGAAATCGTCGTCGGGGGGGACGTAATCCTCATCATCACTGGTCAGCCCCAGCTCGTTGCCATAGCACTGATGGACAAAGTGCCACAACTCCTTAGGACACAGAGGCTGGAGAGAGGTATAAAAAATGTTGCAGAACAACTCTCAAATAAAAAAAATCCTATTATTTATTTACTTATTTATAAATGTATTAATAAATTATATTTTTAATTATACTTTATAATATATAATGGTGATAATATAAGTGAAGAAGTGATATATAATCAATTATATTTTACTTTTATACTATATATATATATATATATATATATATATATATATATATATATATATATATTATTTTAATAAATGTGTGTTTGTGTGTGCTATTGTGTTATTTCATAAATATCATCTGCAAGAAATGAGGAACAATGTCTGAGTCACTCAATTTTCTGAAAATCAAATTTAAAATAAAAAGTTAATATTTGTACTGAAAGGCTCAACAGCACGACCCGTCAGTATCTCATCTACTGTAATCTGTCGTTTCCCAGAGAGAACAGTAGAAGGTTTGTTTAATATTATCACTTATCCTTGATGTCTCAGTTGGGAAGTTGGGAACAGTACTATTCTTGGTTCTGAGCAGACACTGGGGTGTAATAGTGCCACCTGACTCACCTTCTCCAGCAGGGCATTCTGCCAGAGCCGGAACATCATCATATACGTCCTGTCCCTCGCCCCGAACGAGGTGAAAAAGTGCTAGAGAACGAGACAGGAAAGCATTACTGCATTACACTCAGAAGCATTACTGATTCTATTCTAAAATACGTCTAAAATCTGAGAAATTAAGTGTCTGATGTTTTGAAGATGATCAACCAAATCTTATCAGACAGAAAACCTGCTGCCCCCTGGCTTCTATGATACAGTTGTATGCAAAATATGCAAATGACACGGCATTAGTGGTCAAATAATGATTCCTTAAAGTGTTTTAAAAGAGAGAGAGAGCCCTAAAATTGAATTCAGTGGGGCACATATAGTCAATGGTAACTGATCACATTTTACAGATGAGGGGGACAGAAATAAGTTTGAAAAATTCTTTGCAAAACTATTGTTTTTGCCACTGTCACTTTATACTGTGTATCTCCATAAGAAAAGAGATTTAATGAGAACTCAGTTTTATTGACATTCCATCAGTTTATCCTTCGCATAGCACTATAAGTCCCTGAATGAGTCATTAGCTGGCAAAGGGATGGGCGATATGGCAAAAGTAGGATATCATGATACTTCAATACATTTTCACGATACACAATATACATCACAATATTTAGTTTTTCTGAGATTTGATAAGTTGAAATAGACAAAATAGAAGATTTAGTGTCACATATAATAATAATAATAATAATAATAATAATAATAATAATAATTATAGTCACAAGGGGCGATTTGCGGGGTCCAAGCTGTCTTTGCAAGTTCGCTTAACATAGCCATAATAATAATAATAATAATAATAATAATAATAATAATAATAATAATAATAAATATAGCCACAAGCGGTGATTTGCGGGGTCTTAGCAAGTTGGCTCGACATAGCTATAATAATAATGATAATAATAATAATAATAATAATAATAATAATAAACGTATAACCACAATGATTTTTTCCAATGTTTTACAAACTTCACTGCACCAAATCTAATTAAACAGGTCTAATTATATTCACTTTGTAATTAAACATGTACTTACTCAGTGTTAAGTACTGACAATATCCATGATACGCTCAGGAAAGCGTACTGTGACATAACTTATCACAGTGACCATAACATATCATCATATTGCCCATCCTTACTGGCTCATCTCACACGCTGTTTAGAAGTCCTTGCAGGTGAAAAGACGCAACCTCGTCTCATTGTTAGTAACATGGCTCTTACCTTCTCCGTGTCTGTGCACACCTGGATGGCATTGGGGATGAGACGTGCTGTCTTCTCTTTAGTCATGGAGCAGATGTCCTTCAGACGCACTGTCAGCTACACGCACAGAAACACCAGACCCTTACGCTCAGATATTACACGCCACATTATAAACTCATTATGCAACCAAAATTAATGCTTAAAAAAATCTAAAATGAAAAACTCACCAGCGTCTCCCAGCGGAAGATGTTGCTATAGAAACAGATCCAGTTCTCAGAGAGGTAGAGTCGACCCTGCAGGAGGATGTCCCTCTGCAGAGCGCAGGAGTAGTCTACAAAGGTCAAATATCAATACTCATCATCAGTGTTGCAAGCATTAAAGTAGAACTGTATGAGGTAACTGACCTCTGATTATATAGTAATGATTCAGTTAGCACTACTGAGATTGAGGTAACTGGTCCACATGTACAGTTGGAAAATATATTCTAAAAATATCTGATACATATTTTGTAAATATCCTGATAATTTTACTGTTCATATTAAAGAAAAAGATTCGCTAATTTAATTTAATAATTTTCATAAGACACAAAAACCCAAACAAATAAAACAAAGAGAACAGCAGAGAACAGGGCATGATTTGAATTAATGTTTTGTCTTTTTAAATTTGTCTTTTTAAATCTTTCCTTCTTTTAATCTTTCTATCTTTTAATGTCTTATATTACTTTTTGTTTGACGTTTGTTTGATTTTTTTTTACTTTTGTTGATATGTAGTGGAGCTTATGTGTTTTCCTTAAATTTGTTTGGGTCCCAGGGTACCTATCTACTCTATCTATCTATTATTATCCTAATTATAATCATTCTGCGTTTCCTGCAGGTCTTGTTATTGTTTTTGTTTATTTATTTATTTATTTATTTATTTTTGTTAATTGGCTCCTGTAAAAATCTGCATTTAATCATTTGCCCACACGGCATCCTAAAGAGTTTTCTTTAGCATCGACTGAATGTAAAACATTTTTGGCTTAAATATACAATATGGCCAAATGTATGTGGACACCTGGCCATCACACCTAAGCTTCCTAGAGATCTTATTCCCAAGCCAAGGGCATTCATTTGGAGTACCCCCCACCCCTTTGTAGCGATAACAGCCTCCACTCTTCTGGGAAAAGCTTCCACAATGGAGGCCATTGGAGTTCCTCCACACTAAACTCATCAAACTATGTCTTTATGGAGCTCACTTTGTGCACAGGGGCTCGTGTCCCATGCTGGGACAGGAAAGGCTCTTCCCCAAACTGCTGCCACAAAATTGGAAGCATATAATTGTCTAAATGTCTTTGTATGCTGTATCAACATCACCCTTCACTGGAACTTAGGAGCTGAAACCCTGATGAACAGCCCCAGCTTATTATCCCTCCTCCACCGAACTTTACTGTTGGCATTCCAGTAGGCAGAGTTCTACTGGCATCAGACTACCAGATAGTGAAGCTTGATTCATCACTACAGAGAACATCCACTGCTCCAGAGTCCAGTGGTGGTGTGATACACACCGATCTCACACAACATTATGACCACCTCCATGTTTCTACGCTCATTGTCCATTTTATCAGCTCCACTGACCATATAGGAGCACTTTGTAGTTCTACAGTTACAGACTGTAGTCCATCTGTTCTCTGCATACTTTGTTAGCCCCCTTTTACCCTGAACAGGGTCAGGGCCCCCATGGAGGTGGTCATAATGTTATGCCTGATCTGTGTATCACTCCAGCTGACGCTTATAGTCTTGGGCTTAAATTAGTGTGGCTGAAGTCAGTAATTAGGAGGGGTGACCATATAATTTTGGCCATTTACTGTATCCTCTTTAAGGTGTTATGGTTGTCCTCTTACCCACAATGAGCCGCTCCGTGTCGGGCAGCTGCTTGAAGAGCTTTCTGAAGTCTTCATTTCTCTGCTTATAGGTGGGGCTGAGAACCTGTTTGAGACATGAACCAACACAAAAACCTCATTCTGGTTCTCACGCTCACTGGTGGAACAGATGCAACAGGCCTGATGTTTCGAATGCAGAGCAGCCATGCAGTCTGAGTCACTTTCATTCGTTCATGCTCCAAATTCACCATTCACCCATACATCTGCACTAGTCTACCACCTTTTTCTTTCATGGAAGGCTGAATGAATGAATGAACACAGAGCAGCAGTTTGCAAACACCAGCAGTACCACACTACTGAATAACTTATAAAACATAACAGTATTTTTAGCTTATTAATGCATTTCTAATACATTTTAAGGTTTCAGTGTCACGAGCACAGCAGAAAATGTGTGAAGACGCCATTCGGCGACAGCAAATCCGTAAAAGATCATCAATAAAAACCACCCTTTGGAAATGCCATTGTGATTAGTAACAGCGCCAGCCCCTGTGGGCACATCCCTGGGTGGAGCATTTGAACAGTGAACCCTGGCGCTATCTCATCTGCCTGGTTCTTCAGTAACTCCTCTCATACAGGGAATCAATGTGCAGATGAGTCACCGTCATCTAAACAGTGAAAAACGGATAAATTGATTGATAAGTAACTAAACGTGACGCAGATGGAAGCTGATATGTTTATAATGAGGGGAATCCTTCCTGGTCCAAAGGTGAGGGAGGTACAGAAAGGAACAGTTCGCAGTCAAATCAAATGCACACAGTTTTCCCCAATTTTCCATGATTTATCCTTAAAGCGCACACTGGCCACACGGCATCGTACGTCACACTAATGCTCAGTGGAAATAATGCAGTTTAGCTGATTCGTTCTAGTGACCGGATCACCCTTCAGGTGCTGAGAGCTTTTACAGTACACTCTCAGAAATAAAGGTACTAAACTGTGACTGGGGCAGTAACCATCTTGTCACTGGGGTGGGACCCTCAAGGGTACATCTCAGTACCTTTATTCAGGGAACATAACTGGACCATAATCCACTGAAATGATATGTTCTAAGCTGTACTGACTCCACACACCCCGTCTCGTCTCCAGGCTTTTATTTTACTGTTCTGTTTTAAAACATCATTCGGTTATGAAAAGGTACAAATACGAACTTTTCACCTGGAAAAACTTATTTAAGGAGCACAATCAGACCTTAAAACCACTGTAGTACCTTTGAGGGAACATGATGAATGAAAAATGTACCTGAACAGAACCTTCATTTCTAACAGTGTACTGGGAAAATCTGCTTTTAGCTACAGAGCACCAGCTGGAATACAACACTGGTTTCAACATTTGGTGTAAACGTTTTAGTCTCTAACCAAATCCAAATGTTTTGATTTTAGTTAACTTTTAATATGATAATATGACTTTTACTATGATTTTGTTTTATTAATGTGAATTATTTTATTAGCAGCTTTTACTTTGTACTTACTGCTGAGTTATTCCTTTACATTCCCAATTGTTTTATTTATTTTATCAACTCATTTTTTAATATTTGATCTGTGCCTTCTGCCCAATGACTGCTGGGATAGACTCCAGCTCCCCCCCGCGACCCAGAAGGATAAGCGGCTTAGAAGGTGTGTATTTGATCTGTCATTTACTATTTTTATTTTCAATTTTAACAGTTTTATCTTTGTTTCTTTTGTACTATTAAATTTACTATTATTATTATTTTTTTTTAGCAATCCCTGATTTCTGTATAGCTCCATTTGACTGTAAATGAAGGTTACCCTCAAAGTACTCTGCAACTATTTTATCATATCCAAGCCTGTTTTTTTTACAAAAAAACAGCATATTGTCACTGTCCATTGCATCCTACAAGAAGATTTGACCAGCCTGAGTGTTTCAAATACAAGCAAATGCGAGACAATAATCAGATGTAGCCAACTGAATTTCACTATACTGTATAATCAACATAATAAACACTGTTTTCTCTTTGCACTCATCTATCCATGATGGACAAACTCCATACAATCAGAAAGAGAAGCATTTTAAATTGACTTGCACTGCAAATATAAACATATATATGGATATATATATATATATATATATATATATATATATATACACACATATATATGGACTGAATTGGTTCAAAGTCAGAATACAAAGCCAACTTTGCGTGATCTTTTACCTTAATTTAATGAATATTTTAATCAGATTATTAAACATTTCCATTTGTAATCATAGCAAAAAGATTCTTTTGCTAGTGACCGTTTTAGTTCACGTTGAGCAGAATTTAAAATCACTAGCCAGGACTTGACTAGCAAACACAGCTTTGTACATAACAGAAAAAACACATAAATCTTATTATTGTTATTAAAGCACAATGAAGTTTAATTCATTGCAGAATTAATTGTTTCAGGAGACAATTTCCTAATGGTCCACACTGATTTTCAGACACATTTTCTTTATAACTGCTCACCATGTGGCCATGAGGGACAGGGATGAAGCCGCATTTCCTGCTCTGAAATGCTGGGGTGTGGCTAAAATAATAATACAGACTAAAACTAACGACATGAAAATAAAGAGTTTTTAAATGTAAAGAAGAAACTCTCGATAACTCAGAAAATTGTATATTAAAAGAAATCAAAAAGATCTTAAAATAAAAACAAATCAAAACAAAACAAAACAAAATGTAAGTATTATTATGGTTGGGGTTTGGGACAGACCTCCCAATAAAAAGTACATAAATAAGTACTATAAATGAATAAATAAATGTATTTAATACTGTAAATAAAGTACTATAAATGATGATTCTGTATATATTTAGCTTATTACTATCTTAATTAATGCCTTGGGTTTACATAGATAATAACATCATGCTTGTAAAAATCAAAGGTCTGCATACTTTATTTTTATTTATTTATTTATTTGTTTATTTATTTATTTATTTATTTATTTTTTAACTAAACTAGTAAAATGCAACAATGCTCCGTATAGCTAGCTATGTTGGATACACCAGTCATGCATTTTGCCAGGCTGGTCACTGAGCTTGACCTAAATATTTGGGTATTTACAGTATTTACAGGGTATATTTGGTATCTACAGTAATGAAGTTTTGCAGTTTCAAACAAACAAACAAAAAAAATAGATCACTAGTGGCCCCAGTACCCCCCGAGCCCCCCAGGCTGAAAACCACTGATCTTGCTCATCTACAGGCAGTTCATGACTCCATGTTAAACGATTAAATTTCTCCACTGAAACTTTGCTAAGACACTGCTGTTGATGTCGATGTAGCACTTTGATGTTGTGTCATTTTATTAGGCAACTCATTTTTTCATTTAAGAATTGAACTGGTCATTTAAATGTCAGACTGGTCTGTTAAAGTGCAAATAAGCAATTTTTGGCTAATGAGAATTACTGAAAAAAACGGTCGGCAAAAGAAACTGACCGTTGGCTGTAAAACAATTGGAAATTGCCATAAAATTTTATGATATGTAAACCTCTACAGTTTCATAGCAGCTTATACACCGATCAGCCATAACATTATGACCACCAGCACAACACACACTAACACACCACCACCACGTCAGTGTTACTGCAGTGCTGAGAATGATCCACCACCCAAATAGTACCTGCTCTGTGAGGGTCCATGGGGGTCCTGACCACTGAAGAACAGGGTAAAAGGGGGCTAACAAAGTACACAGAGAAACAGATGGACTACAGTCTGTAACTGTAGAACTACAAAGTGCACCTATATAGTAAGTGGAGCTGATAAAATGGACAATGAGCGTAGAAACAAGGAGGTGGTCATAATGTTATGCCTGATCGGTGTATATACCAGTAAACACTGGGAACAACTGCAAGCCTACAATGTCTCCTGTCCCAAACCGCATTAAGTTGTTTATGTGATTTCTGACACTGTATGACATACTGTTACCTATAGAACTGGATGAGTACACTGCATGTCTAAAAACAGTAGTAATAACCAGCTTGAAATGTCGACTCTGTACATTTGTCCATTTTTATAGATATTAAACCACATAAGTGAGACTTATTTGAGATTCCACTACACGTTAGAGACTTTAGCCTCATAGCTCTACTGCCAAACTAACCAAACACACTTCAGACACCAAACAGTTCTTGGCTGATTGGTTACCTTTGTAAGTGGATATTTCATATATATTTTATTCATAATTTCATATGGTATACTTTAACCACTTCCTACCTCACCACCAAGAGCAACAACTCCCAATGAGTACTGAACCAACAACTTCAATACCATCACCCAAACCCACCAACGTACACTGCAAAATGACATCTTGGCCAAGTGAAAACATCTTAAATGTAGTCAACATATCTAATACAGCTTATTTCTCAATGGTTATATTTGTTTTACATAAGCTCATCTAGAGAAACTGTCTTATTCTACTGTAGGTCTGAACAATTTGTGGAAAATATCCAGTTGCAATTTTGATTGCAATTGCGTTTAAAATGCGTTTATTTTCTATAAATTGAGCTCCAGGCCTTTTGTTGCCAGGAAGACCAGCACATCCACCATCTCTATTCTACTCTATGTTCTATTGGTAGATCATTTTGCTTCTTTCAAGAATATGCCAACAGAACGGGACAATTTCTGTAGATGAAATATCCCAAAAGAAGTAGAAATGGTTAAAAATAAGTGAAATAACCTCCTAATATTCGTACAATCATCTCAAAATGAGAAATACTGGACTAGATTTAAGATCATTTCTACCACTTGCCCTGCATAAAGACCCCCCACCCAAATTAGTGACTCCTCAGCACCACACCATCAACCAAAACCCCCAACCTTTGCAACTGCAAGACCTCCACCCATAAATTTGACGACTCACGGCAGGTAACTCCTCATCCTCCTCCTCTTCCTCCTCCGTCCAACTCTCAGAAGAGCTTGAGGACCAAGGGTCTCCCCAGGCTGAGCCCTGAAGCAACCACCCGGCCAGGGCTTCCTTCACCTCCAGCAGGGCCTCCCAGTCCCTTTGGGCACCCTCCGTCACAGACTCCATTACCCACAATCACCGGTTCACCGGCAGCGCCAAGTATGGATTCAGTTTCCCGAACCTATGAACTAATATTAAAGTCCAAAATCTTCCAAATGCTCCTCAATGCACGCCGTTTTCTAGCTTATACTGAAGACTCTCTATTCCAACATTAGCAGATTTAAAATGCTGAATCTTCTGACCTCAGTCCAAGTCTGGTCCAAGTTCTCAAAGTCCTCACGCTTTTGTGCAACAAAGACGCCAGTGGATTATACCGAAAACTGTCCATGCAAACATAAGACGCTGATTTACAACGTTCAGGAATCTTCAGACTGGTCCAGAAAGCTAATTCATCCCAAGAACCATGCAGAAGTTCCTCGGTCAGCACTCTTCACCTGGTTTCATTTGGCAGATCCTCAACTGGGAGAAGCCACTATATATGAGCGCGGTATCCTGCGCTGACTAGCGCCACATGATTGCAGTGTTTGTCACACGCGCACGCACAGCGGCCAATGCCCTATAGTAACCCCAGCCCAAACAGATGCGTTATTATGCTGGAGTCTGTTCCGGTTTGTTTTGCTCCTCGTTGGCCGAGTGTGTGCCCTGCAGCACCAAGACTCGATCCTTTACGCTCCAGCCTCTCCCATGACCATCTATCTTTTTCTACTGACCCTCCGTCTCTCTGTCTTCCTCTCTACCCACCTGTAGTTCTGCTTTGTTCTGCCTCTCGTTCTCTTCTGCTTCTCTCGTTATCTGGACACAGACGTCAAATTACAAAAATAGCAACCAGAAGCAAAGTCCAGTTCGGTTAGAAGTCAAACAAGGTCATTAATTTCTCCCCCCAGAGACGTTCTGGTCTTCTACACACCATGCCTTGTGCGTTCAAGCTCCCAGTGGTTTGTTGACCAGTGCAGGTTCTTAGGACAGTCTTAGGACACTTCCTTTGTGCCTGATCCCACGTCCATCCATTCCAAGCTCCTTTAAAATGTCTCCAGAATACGCTTTCATCAACACTGGCTAAAGATAACTGACCTCAATGTGAGCCAAACAACCTCTTCTCCTCAAAGCAAGGACAGTGGACACCAGGGGGTTCAAGGGGTCAATTTAAACCTCGATCTGTTTATCGCTCTCTCTAAGGAGTGGCCCAGGATGTATTAATATCGTCACCAAATTATCTGCAGTGGTTCTATTGTCTTTAAATTCTTGTTGTCAATGTTCCAGGTGGTCAAATTCTCACTAAACAGCCAATGACATTGGACAACACTCAGATGGAACTTCCACCGTGAGTAGGATGGAGCCAAGGCTCAGCAAAGTGATAAGAAGAGACCGAGACCTCTTACATAAATATCATTAAGGGAATTCCACAGTTCAAAGTTTCTGTGTAATTAAATGGTGAAGATGTAAACAGAATCATTCGCAGTGGTTTTGTGTGAAACGCTCCAATCTAGAGAAACTTACTGAGTCAGAATTGTTCACAGTGGTGGTGATAGGAACCAGACGTCTGAAGAGTTTAATGCCTCTAAAACTCCCTTATAGAAAGTTATTGCATGAAATCTTATGTCTGACAGTGTTTTATGATAGTTTTAAGAAGGTTTTGGCATAAAATGCATTTTTAAAACCCATTCATGCAGGAGAGGTACATGCAGGGTGTTGTGAGGCCAACTAGTACTAAAGAAAAAACGTACTACTATTTTATATGACGGCGTTTTAGGGCCACTGTTAAAAAATAAAAATAATAAAATAAAATCGTAATATTTTGAGAAAAAAGTTTGTATTTCGAGAATAAAGTCATAGAATTATGACATTACAATAAGACGTTACCAGGAATAGTCATAATAATATATAACCAAAGGCTTTGCAGAGGGAAGGCAGCCCCTCCTCATGTTAAATGAGGGGCGGTGAGTTGGTGGAGTTATACTTTCATATCGATTCACCCATAAAGAAACACTCAGTCTCCCTGTCTCTCCTGCACAGCAGCACCAGCCTGTTATTAGGATAAGAAACAGCAGAAAACTGTATTTAGAAGACAGAACCAGGCTATCGGTGGCTGCATCTCCATGTCATTCGGAGAGGTCATGTAGTTCCACAGGAGACAGAATAGTAGTCAGAATGATCGATCCTGAAGGAGTGAGTGGAACTCCAGTGCACTCAACGTCTTTGTTGTCACCACTACAGCAACCGAGGCCCCAGCGCTTCATGGCAGCCCCCCTACAACTAGCCCACTTTATCCTCCAAATATTGCTATCCAAAGTTTATTTTTGTAAATTCACGACTTTATTATTGAAAATATTATAACTTGATTCTCGAAATATTACGAGTTTATTCTTGAGGTTTATGATTTTTCTTTTTTTAACAGTGGCCCTAAAACGTCGGCAAAATTTTACCGTTATCAACAATACAAATAAAATGTGTGGGGCTCACTGGTTGTTTTGGATAGTAAATCATCGCTATTGTGACAAAACCTCTCCAAAATGGCAAATTTCAAAATGAAAAAACTGTCTAAACTGAACAGAAGTTAACGGATCATGAATTCCACGCTGGTCTAAGCTGGCTTATGCCAATCTGGTGCTGGTTTAGATGGTCACCCATCATGGTCATGCTGGTTGATCAGCACACCAGCATCTAAAACACAACATTTAGTCCTAGATGGAATGATGTATCTCCAAGATTGTAACTTTACAGGAAAAAGGCAAAACCATTCTGTACTTTTAATGTAAGTCAGTGTAACAAGACTTTTTTTCAAGCAATATTGGACCATTTTTATTGGTCCATTCATTGTGAAATTCACACACTTTATATAACGGGCAAATCATAATAAATAAATAAAATGGAGATATGCTTTTGTTCTGACAGTGACAACAAGCTGGTTTTGGTGATGGTCAGCATAATAACATCTATTGCTGCTGATCAGCAGACCAGCATCCAAACCACAACAAACTGTTGCTCTCATGCAAAAACTTTGTACTTTCATTTTTGCCGTTTTTTACTTTTTTGCATAATTTGAAAATTCCAGTTATCCTTTGCATTGTGTTTAAATTTCATGATCAACGGACCATTAAAAATGGTCCAAAATTCCTTGGAAAAAGGGCGTTGCTCCACTCATCAGGACATTTAACACGTCTTAAGCACTGCTGTAAAGGCTATTTTTCGAATTCTGTAAAAAGATGTAGGTACAGGGTTTTGTTCTGATGGTGACTAAATAAAGTGTCTATAGTTACATTGCAGACATTGCAGTCCCTGGTTCCACTGCAAAGTTCCACCACTGTAAAGAAATATGAGTTTTTAAGTTGAAGCATTTCATATTCATCCACTCTGAATGACTTCGTTTACATCTCAACAATGGAATTATGCAGAACTTTTGAAAAATTGGTGGAATTCCCCTTTAAAGTGCTTGCTGAATTTCTAAGGGGGTGGTGTGTGTATGTGTGTGTGTGTGTGTGAGTGTGTGTGTGTCCTCTCAGGTGCTAATATGTAAAGTCCGTTATCCATTAACTGTAAGGACAAACAATAAGAGCTGTCGGTGGCTGGTACCAGGAGCAGCACTCCAATAAAGTCATTCACCTCACCCACACACACACACACACACACACACACACACACACACACACAGGGCCTTTCCCTGGGACTGTTTCTGTGTGGTATCATACTTGTGTGTGTCCTCAGTGACCCTCACAGAACAGAAACTTGTAAAGGTCCAGTTACATCAAAGTTCTTTCTTACAGACATCTGGATAAGCAAACTAACACAAATAAACGGTTAACACTAAATACTTAGCCAGTGATGATAATCTGACAATCCTGGCTGTTAAGAAAAAAGTCTTAGACGCTGTGTATGAATGGACAGTCACACTGCCGCGTCACCTTGGTCATGAAAAAAGGACTGTCTGGCTTGTGAGATGGACAGTATTGGAGCTCCACCAATCCACTTCAAAGCTTTATTTGTAATGGTCCTTTGTAGATGATTAATAAACAATGATAATGTAGGTGAAGCATCTAAATACACTGAAGTAAATATCCTGTAGATGTTCTGTTCATACATGACTTATATTAAGTAGATGTTTTGTTATTATGTTAATTCCATTACACAAAACCTAACCTTACCTACCTTACCCAGAAAATAAACCATCACCCTGGCACTAATCCTAATTCTGACCTTAACCTCAACCCAAATCCTAATCCTAACCCTGGCCCTAATCATAACCCTAATCTCAACCCAAAACCTAATCCTAACCCTGGCCCTAATCCTAATCCTAACCTCAACCCAAAATCTAATCCTAACCCTGGCCCTAACCCTAACCTCTACCTCAACCCAAAACCTAAACCTAACCCTAAAATCAACCTCAACCCAGAACCTAATCCTAACCCTCACTCTGGCCCTAATCCTAACCCTAACCTTAACCTCAACCCAAAACCTAATCCTAACCCTAAAATCAACCTCAACTCAGAACCTAATCCTAATCCTAACCCTAACCCTGGCCCTAATCCTAAACCTCATATGTCTTCGACATGTTACTGAGAGTCTGTTGGGTGTTCATTTCATCTAAAAGAACCACTCAAAATAATGTGTCACTGTTAAAACATCCACACGATTTAGATAAAATATGAAGCTCTGTTTGAGGCTGAAAGATCAAATATTTTTTCATCAAACCAAAAATATGAAAGAGTGCAAATTTCAAAAACACAAGAGCTGCAGTTTCAATTATAGCCTACATTACCTACAAGTTTTTCTTGAGGAAATTAAACCTGATCCCACAGAACATGTGAACAACCTATAGATGAGAAGCAAGAAGTCCCTAACAGAGAGCTATTACATGACATAATGCCTGAGACACTGTTTATGATAGTTTTGAGAAGGTTATGGCCTAAAATATATTTTAAAATCCATTCATGGCAGAGAGGTATATGAAGGGTGCTGTAAGGTAAAACAGGCCCCTAATCAGTATTTCACCATTGCAAGTAAAAACTCAGAAGACAGGTGCAGGTTCACTGGAAGGTCCACTGGAAGTTTTGCATAGTAAATAAAATGGCTATATGTGAGCTGCAGACATCATGACTCCTGGATCCTATCAGCACCACTGTAAAGCTCTACAAAGCTTTTCTACAATGAACTATTTCACATCAAACCACTCTGAATTACTCTGTTCACGTATCAATGATGGAGTTATGCAGAAATTTTGAATAGGTGGAATTTCTTTTGAGCTCTAGTTAAGATAAACAGTACAGGACACTGTAGTCTTTGGTGGTTTCGGGCTCAGAACTCACATTTGGACGGTTGAGCTGTAATCACAAGAACTCAGTGCCATGGGAGATCATCATCGCCCACACACACACACACACACACACATTTAAAATACATTCAATACTGTAATATACACCGATCAGGCATATCATTATGACCACCTCCTTGTTTCTACGCTCATTGTCCATTTTATCAGCTCCACTTACTATATAGGTGCACTTTGTAGTTCTACAGTTACAGACTGTAGTCCATCTGTTTCTCTGATACTTTGTTAGCCCCCTTTTACCCTGTTCTTCAGTGGTCAGGACCCCCATGGACCCTCACAGAGCAGGTACTATTTGGGTGGTGGGTCATTCTCAGCACTGCAGTCACACTGACGTGGTGGTGGTGTGTTAGTGTGTGTTGTGCTGGTGCGAGTGGATCAGACATAGCAGTGCTGCTGAAGTTTTAAACACTGTGTCCACTCACTGTCCACTCTATTAGACACTCCTACCTTGTTGATCCACCTTCTATATGTAAAGTCAGAGACAGCAGCTCATGTGTGTCAGCATAGTTTGTGTTGGTCATCCTCCAGTTCTTCATCAGTGGTCACAGGATGCTGTTGGCTGGATATTTTTGGTTGGTGGACTATTCTCAGTCCAGCAGTGACACTGAGGGGTTTAAAAACTCCAGCAGCTCTGCTGTGTCTGATCCACTCCATGGGGGTCCTGACCACTGAAGAACAGGGTAAAAGGGGGCTAACAAAGTATGCAGAGAAACAGATGGACTACAGTCTGTAACTGTAGAACTACAAAGTGCTCCTATATGGTAAGTGGAGCTGATAAAATGGACAGTGAGCATAGAAACAAGGTGATCGGTCTATATGCTGCAGCCCAGAACACTGGCGAACAGACTTAGAGTGATATTTAATGCAGTCTGCTCTAAGCTAAGCTTTAAGGCCACAACCAGCATGCAGGTGCCAGGAGAGATGCCGTGCATTCTGGGTTACTGTTCAATGCAGTTGAATTCATGCAGCTAGCTAGTGATCTGCCACATTGTTTGAT